CGTACCGCAAAACACAATATCTGCCCAACCACCCGTCATTCACGCAATATACGCAGGAACATAATGACTGTAAATACTATACAACCTATACAAATAAACCAACAGACTCTTCAAGTTCTCTTACGAGAGGTTCTCTCGTATTGCGTAAGTTTAGCTTACGCTACGGGAAAGATTCATCTTCTCGAGATATTGAAGCCAAAAAATTATCCTTAATTTTGTATTCATTGTCAATGCAGTGCAGCAGCTAGCAGACCTAGAGCAGGCCATCTCGCGTGCTCATTGGCTGCCCTGCGGGCAACTGCTGCAGCCTACCAGTCAGCCCGGCGTGACGTCACGCTCAATGAAGGGCGCCCGCGCCTTCATAGCGTCACAGCCCGCCAGAATGGGCGTGGCTTAGCGTATAAAAGTAGGGGCTGTAGGCTGACTTCCCTGATTTTTCGTCTCTTCAGCGAGCTCTTCGCATCGCTGGATCTGAGAGAAGCCACCGCCGCCGTCGAACAGCGAACAGCCAGCTTAGGACAGCGCTGAGGAAGCCGGCCATCTTCGCCACCTTCAGCCATCCGTGCGAGCTACGCTATCCGGCTACGTATCCTTTTACCTTGCAAAACCTATTCCTGAAAGAGCGCGAGTGTCTTTTTAAAGATGCCTCGCACTTCCTGCGGCTCGTGTAGGGCCCCGCTCAGCGTCGGAGACCGCCATATGATCTGCGCTCTCTGCCTGGGCCTGGAACATGCAGAGCTCGCCCTCGCGTCCGGGGGCTGCGAGCTCTGTGAAGCGCTTCCGCTGTCGACCCTGCGGGCTCGACTCGAAGCCTTCAACCCCGAAGCAGTCACTCCGCCCTCTGTTGGACCGCGCACGAAGAAGTGCCGTTCCCTGAGACAGCCGGAACCCGTGGCCTCGCTTTCGCCTTCCCCGCCTCCCCTCACCGACGCGCAGCTGCCGCTCACGAGCCTCGCTGCCGTCGCATCTGAGGATGAGGCAGAGGGACACGCCACGAGAGACTGCTGCTCCATCCTGGCATCAGACTGCGGCTAGCTCTCTTTACGTTACAAGAGAGCTACCCCGCCCTCGCGTCGCCGTTCGCGCGACATGCAGAGCCCTCTCGAGCTCTCTGCATGACCCAGACGGGCTTGCGCGCCGCCGTCGAAATGTCTCGCCCTGTCAGTCCCCTTAGATAAGGCTACTGCAGCGGTGTATTTGGCAGCCAACGAGCCGGTAATGCAACCCGCTCGCCTGCACACATCCGCCGTTCTCGCGGCGACCCAGAGAAATCTCAAGTGAGTATAATGTCTGGTTATCCGGCTCACGCCGTTGGTGTCTTGAGTGTAGAAAAGGTGCCCACACCTCATACATGTCAGGTTAAGAATGTAAGTTACGTGCCCGGTCACGCTAACAGACACATCGCCTCCGAAAAGACGCGCGTGTCCCGCTGCGGCCGGACCACCGTCAAAGTTTATTTCCCTGTCAGTCCCCTTCAAACAGGCTACTGCAGTGGTTCATTTAGCAGCCAACGAGCCGGTTTGTTCACCCTCTCGCCTGCACACAAACGCCGTTTTCTCATGGTGGATGCTTGGCGCGCACGGCGTTGACAAAGTGTTCCCGTAGCGTAAGCTAAACTTACGCAATACGAGAGAACCTCTCGTAAGAGAACGGTACTCGGTTACTAACGTAACCTCGGTTCTCTCTAGAGAGGGAACGAGTATTGCGTAACCGGCTGTGCTTGCGCCACGAGCGACTTCGCTTCAGTCGACGAAAAACCAGGGAAGTCAGCCTACAGCCCCTACTTGTATACGCTAAGCCACGCCCATTCTGGCGGGCTGTGACGCTATGAAGGCGCGGGCGCCCTTCATTGGGCGTGACGTCACGCCGGGCTCACTGGTAGGCTGCAGCAGTTGCCCGCAGGGCAGCCAATGAGCACGCGAGATGGCCTGCTCTAGGTCTGCTAGCTGCTGCACTGCGTTGACAATGAAGACAAAATTAAGGATAATTTTTTGGCTTCAATATCTCGAGAAGATTAATCTTTCCCGTAGCGTAAGCTAAACTTACGCAATACTCGTTCCCTCTCTAGAGAGAACCGAGGTTACGTTAGTAACCGAGTATCGTTTTCAAGAATTCTACGAAACCGTAGCGTGGCGGCCTGTACACAGCCAGCTAGAATCATTCCGTCTCAACCACAGCCAGTTGCTGCTCCTTTCTGCTGCATCAGATAAGTTCTTTACTGTGCGACGCAACTCTTGGCCACTGAATCCGACGTCTCTGAGGAACCGGGTTGTAGAGTGTGCCACAAAACCTCGACAACCCACTTCCACTGGATAAACCTGGACTCTCCATCCTCGCTGTTCTGCTTCAGCGGCCAGACGAGCATACCGCAGTTTCTTCCTCTCATATGCCTCATCTACCGCATCCTCCCATGGCACTGTTAACTCTATCAGTTGAACAATGCGTGCTGATCCCGACCACAAAACAATATCTGGTTGTAGATTAGTGGTGGCAATCTCAGGTGGAAAAATAAGCCGTTGATCAAGATCAGCCAGCATCTTCCAGTCCCTAGCAGCTTCCAGTTGTCCTGGGCGAGAATTGGTGTTAACACCTTTTCTTGGTGGTTGCTCGCCTGGGCGGAGGAATATTGTCTTCTGCGTGTAATGTTTTGCTAGAACAGGCGGCAACTTATTGGTCATACTACGCTTGCCTTCCAATACTAAAGCCAAACATCGCAGTACTTGGTCATGGCGCCAAGTAAACCGACCTTGGCTAAGAGCCACCTTACATCCTGTAAAAATGTGCCTTAATGTGGCAGGTGATGAACACAAAGGACAAGAGGGATCCTCTCCTACCCAGAGGTTTAGGTTCTGCGGTGATGGGAGAACATCATATGTTGACCTAATAAGGAAACTGATCCTACTCTCTTCCATTGACCAAAGGTCTTGCCAGCCCATCTTGCGTTGTTCCACACTATCCAATCTCATCCACTCTCCCTGCTTGGCCTGGGAAATGGCTTTTATACACCTCATCCTCTCCTCCTGCTTTCGCATCTCGTTGACTACCAGCTTCCTACTTTGAGCTGGGCCTGCCTTGTGCCATTTAGGAGGAGCTAAACTGAGCCCAAAACCCCCTCTTCCATGCTGTACCTGTCCCACGATATCCCCAATTTGAAGGTCAGCCTTTGCCTCTACTACAGATTTCTTTGCTGACCACTTTCTACCAGTTTTTAACACAGGGGCTGCCTCCCTTACACATTTGTCGCGTGACTCTACTAAGGTAATTTCCAGTCTGACCTTGGCACACTTAAACTCCTCGGTTAAAGCAGCGACTAGCAGCTGCAATATTCCTTTACTATAAAGTCCCACTCTGCTGAGGCAGCGTGGAACTCCCAACCATTTCCTGATGTATGAACTTATTAACGCTTCCAGCTTATCCACTGTTGTCAAAGAAACCTCGTACACAGTCAGTGGCCACAGCAACCTCGGCAGTAGACCAAACTGAAAGCACCAGAGTTTTAGTTTACCAGGTAGAGCACAGCTGTTTATGCTCTTCAACCCTTCCACTGCTTGTCGTCTAACTTCTCCCACTCGAACTGTGTCCTTTAGATCCCCATCGTACCATCTCCCAAGACTCTTCACTGGCTTCTCAGAAACTGTTGGTATTGCCTCACCATTAATGAAGAATGTTTCATCTACTACCTTTCCTTTAACTATCGAGATGCTCCTTGATTTAGAGGGCTTAAATTGCATTCGTGCCCATTCAATATTATCAGTTAACTTCCCCAATAACCGATTAGTGCAGGCTGCTGTTGTAGTCATGGTTGTCATGTCATCCATATATGCTCTGATTGGTGGTAGTCGCATCCCAGAAGCCGAGCGCTCTCCTCCTACTACCCATCTTGATGCCCTAATAATTACTTCCATTGCCATGGTAAAAGCCAGTGGAGAAATGGTGCATCCTGCCATTATTCCAACCTCTAAACATTGCCATGCAGTGCTGAATTTTGGAGTTGAGAAACTAAATTGCAAATCTCCAAAATAGGCTTTCACTAAATTTGTTATTGACATTGGTACTCTGAAAAAATCAAATGCTGCCCAAAGAAGCTCATGTGGCACTGAACCATATGCATTAGCCAAATCCAGGAATGTCACATGGAGCTCCTTCCTCTCCTTTTTAGCTGACTTAATTCGTTGCCAGATAACATTGTTGTGTTCTAAGCATCCTGAGAACCCTGGAATGCCCGCTTTTTGAACTGAAGTGTCAATGAAGCCATTCTTTAATAGGTAGGTGGACAATCTCTGGGCAATAATGCTGAAGAAAATCTTACCTTCAACGTTTAATAGTGAAATAGGACGAAACTGACTGATGCTTGTAGCATCTTTTTCTTTAGGTATAAAGACTCCACCTGCTCTGCGCCATGCTCTAGGTACAACCTGTTTTTCCACTTTTATTAATTTCCACAGAATTCGCAGAACTCCTGAAGCACTCTTGTACACTCTGTACGGAACTCCATTAGGCCCTGGAGATGATGAAGCCCTTGCCTTTCTCACAGCCTGCTCTACCTCTTTCCACTTAGGTGCACAGACCTCCATTTGGTATTCTGGTGGGTTGATAGGTGGTATGTCTGATGGAATTGACATAGGCTCATGCCTTTTTGCATCTGTATGCGTTTCCTCCAAATATCTCTCTAGCTCAACCCTAGATGCTTTTAAAGTGCCATTCTTCTCCCTGGTGAATAACTGCCAGGGAATAACATGACTATGACTATAACTGAATATGAGCATGGACATGTTTTCAGGACAGAATTCTTATCAAACGTGTGAAGATCTGCCCCAAACTTCACATGTTTGATAAGAGTCCTGTCCTGAACACATGACCATGCTCATATTAGATTATTGCAATAGCGCGTGTGTGTGTGTGTGTGTGTGTGTGTGTGTGTGTGTGTGTGTGTGTGTGTGTGTGTGTGTGTGTGTGTGTGTGTGTGTGTGTGTGTGTGATATTTGAGCAAACACACTCACATTGTGGGGATGTATTCTCCAGGAAAGGCATTGGTGGTGTAGCTGATCAGCAGACATGTTTTACCCACAGCTCTGGAATAAGGAAGAACACAGGTAAAGTGAATGACGGTAAACACAAGGCATCGTGACACAGGACAGTAACAGTAACAGGTTGAAAAACTAGTCTGTGGACGGAGTCATCAAGATCAAAAGCATTCTCATATATGACTAATCGCTGTAGGGCTGAAATCTCATTTTGTGCCGTTTCACTTCCTCCTAAAACATTTGTGCAAACTTTTTAAAATGCAACAAAAAAGAAGCTGTACACATTAAATTTAAACAAACAAATGTCATCCACACATAATGCCTAAATTATTACATAATGCAGTTCATTTTATTCTTTCTAAAATGAATCAATGGAATTAATCTATTAACTAGGAGAAAAAAAAAAGTTGGTAACACTATTTTAATGTATTATAGTTACACGTTACATCCATTTACTATCGTAATAACTATAAATTATGCATAATTACATGCAACTAAACCAAACCCTAACTAGGGTTGGGAATCGAGAATCCATTCCAATCCTGGAATCGAATACTTGAGGGCAGGAATCAGATACTTGTTATAAAATAATTGTAATTCCTCTTATTGATTCATAACCCAGTCAAGCGTGAGGCGACCGCAGGCGTGTGTATCAGTGTACTGGACCCGTGCGGCTCTTAAAGGGACAGCACTGATATTCCTGATGTGTCTCTATAGTAACACTGATCACACAACACAGCACAGAGAAAATGTGCTCGTAACTTTTGTAACTATATTTGTAATGTATAATTAATTTATAAAGTGCAGTGTTATTTTACATTTGATTACAGTTTCTGTGCCTGAATCTTAAAACACTGTTTATATCAGTCGTATCTGTGTTCAGTTGTATCTTTTTGTTGCGTTTATTTGTTCTTTTTTAATTACTGAGTGTTTACTTGTGTTTAATAATGCTTGACGTGTACATTAGTTCGGCTAGTTGTTTTTCTATGGTGTTTATAAACCACAGGCAAACTAAATGTGAATGATATCTAAGTTTTTATTTATTTTTACCTTATTGGAATCGAAATTAGAAATAAATAAGAATCGGAATCCCTATCCTAACCGTTAGAGTTAGTTCATGAAGTAAATTAATATATCTAATTAGTTGTATAATTACACTGTAACCTTTTAAATGTTACATTTGCAATTAAATGTTTCAACTATGTAAAGCCTGATGTATAAATAATCAATCTATTTTAAATGGAAGTTTATTGAACCTTTATAAAGAATCTAAAAGAAAATATATATAAAAAACTTGCATATGCGTTTATGTTTTGTCTAATATTTTTTAAGCTTTTAAGATGCAGTGAGAATATGGAGCGCAAACTGAGCAAGATCATGAAATCTGGTGCAAATGCTGATATTGATGATGAAAATCTGATCGCTTGTATTATAAATCATTGAGATCTTTATTACAGTATATCAGTCGTCGTCACTCTATATCTGCCAATCATGTCTTATACGGTGATATTTGAATGCTTAGTTCTGCCTAAATTCGAAGTTCATCATATAAAGCGATCGAGTCTCTTCAGAAAATTAGGACTAAACCGCTCGTTTCATATGGATTAGTTTTTTACGATCTCTTTATGAACTTTTTGAAGTGTCAAGTAGTTGCTTAGTCTGTCAATGGAGGGACAGAAAACTCAGATTTCATCAAAAATATCTTCATTTCAGTTCCGAAGATGAACGGGTTTGAAACGACTGGAGGGGGAGAAATTATTAATGACAGAATTTACATTTTTACCCCTTTAAATTGTGCATCATTTCACTCTTAAAATAATCAAAGAGTTTTCTAGAAGAGTTTTCTGAATGTTAAGAAGTGTCGGTAACACTTTACTTGAAGGGGTGTGCATAAGACTGACATGACACCTTCATAACCATGACATGACACATGTCATGAATATGAAGTAGGGTTTATGCATGTTTATGACAACTGTCATTACGTGTCTTTCGCTCATTAATGACATTTTGAATGCAAATATGACATTGTTTGAGATGTCTTTGTTATGACACCTTGACATAAACCATAACATCATAACCTGTCAGTGTCTTTGTCATGACAACTTGACATTAAATTAAGTTAAACTGTCATGTGGTTGATTTTGACATTGGCTGTCATGAGGCATTATAACTGTGCCATGAATATTTTTCGTGACCTCGACTACAGTGGTACACATTGAATTTGTCATTAAACAGTTATAATGGCTTCATGACAGCCAATGTCAAAACCAACCACATGACAGTTTAATGTAATGTTAACCCATAAAGCTAAGTGGTTTCTTAAGTTTGATAATTAATCTGCTATGTCGTGTTTATGACAGGTTGTGTTGTCTTAGTAATGTCAAGGTGTCAAAACAAAGACATCTCAAACAATGTCATATTTGCATAAAAAATGTCATAATTGAGCGAATGACACTTAATGACAGTTGTCACAAACATGCATAAAACTTCCTTCATATTCATAACATGTGTCATGTCATGATTATGAAGGTGTCATGTTAGTCTTATGCACACCCCTTCAAGTAAAGTGTTACCGAAGTGTCAAAGAATAATCAGTGTTTCAATAATTTAGTGTTTCAACAAAGTCAAGACAGAAGTAAAAATAAATACGAATCAACAGAATAGAAGTTCATTCAATTTCAATCCAATTAACAAAAAATAAATAAAAGAGGCTTGTCATTAAGAGGGAGAGTTATGATAATAAAACTCTTCAGGCTGATTATAAAATATCAAAGGAGATTGACAAGATGCTTGTTGATTTTGCTTGGAAAAAAAGGAAATTACATTTTAATTACATTAAATAAGAAAAACGGTCTTAATGAACGTCACTACATTAAACAATTAGACAACTTGTTAGGTATCCAATCTCTGCTTGGAATATTATTATCCTCCATATTTTGATATTATCAAACTTTCATCATCAAGCTTTTCTAGCATGTTCAGCGTAACTTACAAAACACAACTTTTTAGTTTTTAGCTCACCAATTAAATACTTTATCTGGAATAATATGGACATTCGATTTAAACAAAATACTTTTTTCTTTGAAAATTGGTTTCTGAATCATATTGTTTTGGTGGACCAATTATATAACTCGGATAGGGAATTAATGGCAAACTATAATATTTCCAGACCACCGAGGGAATTCGCAGTTTTGTGTGATTTCTTCTAAGATATGCATGTTGTTTAAACAGCAATAAGATTACCAGAAACTCCCAGCCAGCGCACCAAATCACTGGCCTGGAGGGAAATATGGTGTAATAATCATAACAGATCAATAAAGATGTTGTTTCGAGACCAAATGTAATTGCATATTGGAGTCAGGTTTGTGAGGGATGTTGACTGGAAGAAATCTCTTAAACAAGGTGAAAGAAGCATCTTTAAAACTCCTTCACAGAATATACCCTGCTAAACATTACTTAAACATTATGTATTTGCTTTTATAGTTGGAAATGTTGATGGAAATGTTATATTATAGTGGAAAGATGTTCTTTTACGTATTTTTGTAAACTCCAAAGATAAACAAACCCGCACTTATATTACTATTATTCTTTATTTTAATGGCTACATTTTTTCAGGATATTTAACGTTAATATTTAAAAATGAAGTGAATTATTATAGAGTCAATATTACCCTCGAAGAAACAAAAAGCTATTCAGATTGTACAAGCATTTACACCCTCTAAAATATTATTGTTTATAAATCTCCCTTCCATTTGAATTTTATTTTTGTTTTGACATTTTCTTCAATAAAAAATAAATAAATAAAACCGTGCGCGTGACGTCACGCAGGAGTCAACGAGGCCATAAACGCGGTCTAAAGTGGCAGTTCAGTAGGCTTTGAGACACAGTATAAGTCATTATAAGTGAGTAAAGTCCTCTTCAGAGGGACAAAATGTCAGTACCGAGACAGTAAAGTTACTCACCCGTCCCCGACGACCACACACTTGATGGCCTGCATGACTTCAACTCGATATTTACTCTCCCTCCGCGCGAAATTACACACGATCGGTCAAATAAACGACGCCGTTCAAACAACACTTATTGCGACTGGGGATTAAGACGCTTTTGTAGATTAAGTTTTCTTCCTCCTCTCATTCCCACACACAGGAATGAAGTCCAGTAGGAAAGTTTGAAGCCACCACCCAAGACAGGAGCCCAGGTAACACAAGTAACGTAATATTTGATGTGATGTTTACATCTGGAAGGCGTATTTTCAGTGTTGGGAAAGTTCATTTTCTACATGAACTAGTTCAAAGTTCAGTTCACAAATTTTAAAATGAACTAGTTCAGTTCATAGTTCATACTTCAAAAAATGAACTAGTTCATAGTTCTTTTTTTCCCTATGTTGCTGCGAGCTTCTTTTTTTTATTATTATTGCCACAGCCCATTTTATACCACAGACAGCAATTATTATATCGATGGGCAAAGTTTGCACAGAAATGTAAGATTTTTCCCATCCTCGCCGATCTTTGGCATAAAACCCGTTGTAGATGAGCAAACACTCTTAAAAATACGTCTTCCAGATGTAAACCTCACATCAAATAGACTTGTGCTATCTGGGAAGTGACTCCTGCAGATTTACAAGCGCACTTCCGCTCGGTTCCCTCCAGAATAAAAGTCCTACAGCTAACACCCCTTTCTTTCTTTCTTTCTTTCTTTACAATACACACACAGTGTTCAAAATGAAGACACATTTATTGAGACACGTTGTAGTTGTCTGTCTGTGAATGGTCTTGTTCAGAATTTCTGTATAAACCTTTTTTTACACTCTTTGGTATAAACATATCTATATACATTTCATTTTGTTAGATGTCTAAAATTCAAGTTTACAATATTTTTAATCAGCTTTAGGACAGTGTATATCCATTCAGGGATTCACACAGCTATGCTTTATTTTAAATCTTAAATCTAATTTATTATTTTTCAGCAAGGTGGCTTAATTATTTAACATTAATGTTTTTTTTTCATTTGATTTGATTTATTTTTTGTTTTATTTAACATTAATGTTTATTATTATTATTATTATGATTTCAAACTGTACAGAGATGACATTAATGATATACATTTTTTTGTATACAATAAACAAAATGTATCCACAATATGTTCAATGTCATCTGAACTTACAGGATAAGAAAAAAATAACAATGATTTGCTAAAAAAAAAAAAGGAAAAATAAGAGAAGATAATATTAATAAAAAAAGACCATGAGGGTAAGATATTATTTTATTTAACATTAATGTTGGGGGACTAAACTACGATCACACTGACGTTTACAGGAAGTAGAAGTTGACAAAATCCGGTCGCGAGCGCATCTTGAGCATAGATCGTGAGTAACAGCCAAGGGGGTAATCCATCGACCGGAAGTTGAAGCCGGCCGGGTGCCGCCATGTTGTAGCAGAACTTCACTTGCGTTAGCATTTCCATTGACTCCCATTCATTTTGGCGTCACTTTGACAGCGAATAACTTTACATCTGAGGCATTTAACGACTCCATTTGTCCATTATTTATTTCTAAAGAAACACGACAATGTATAATTGGCTCCATTCCCTTCTATGTTACATTATGGCCCCGTAGAAACAGATTTTGTAAAAATAGGCTAACGATTGCGTCATAACCACTCGACTCTCTGTCGCGCTGTACAGAAATTACCGTACAGACAGGAGGAGAAGCTCGCAGGCAATCGGGGGGGCGTCCCGTCAAGGGAGAAGCCCATAGATAATGAGTCCATAAAAGCAACGGAATACTTACTCCTGCTCACTCACGCCAAAGAACTCTTTGCTCAAGTTCCCCGTCTCTGCAAGATTAACGTTGGCAATTTTCACGCACAGCTACTAGAAGAGTAACGTCTGTCAGACAGGTTGCTCACGTCATCAAGCTTAGTTTGAGTCGGTTTGAGTCTGCGCGTCAGGAACGGAAGTGCTCAAAAATCGCTAAAAATGGGCTTCAACTGTCTCAACTGAGTTCCAATGAGATGGCTCTGTCCACTTCTTATACTGTCTATGGTAACAGCAGGGTGTAGGATGATGATGATGTAAGATGAGAGGTGTGTTCGACTTCACGCAGCTCTGCGCAGACCGATCGGCGGCTGACTTGAAACAGTGCATGCCGGTTAGAAATTTTGTCCGACTTGATGCAGCGCCGACGCCACATGACTGTGACGTATGCCATCGAAGTATGGCGAGTATTTAGTGCCAAATCATGGATTAACAGGAGAAGGAGAAGGAGAAGTCTACCCTGCCGTCGCCGCCAGAACGTGTGAATTTTTCAATGGGATTGATTGGGACTGCAGACTGGAGACCAGCGGCGACTTGGCGGCGACGTCACAGGAGGAACGTCTTCCGGTGGCGACGTCACGGCGACGTATATTCACGGCCGCTGACAGACGCGAATGAGCAGTGTTTTTCCACGGACTTATCACTTATCTGCTTTTCTTTTGTTTTATATTTAAAGAATTTAGTTTGACCATTTTAATTTTATTTCTTTTCTTGTGCTTATTATTACTTGTAACACTCACTATCACAGAGCTTAGTTCATCCGGTTCCCTAACTCTCTCAATTCAGATAATGTTCCACATAGACCTATAAAAAATGTAATCAGTCACTATATTATAGCTACTCGTTCTATTGTCTGACAACAAAAAAATAGGAAATGAGAACAGCTTTATTTGACATCCGGCTATATTATATTAAATAGAGCATTAATTTAGAGAGAAAACGCACTAGGCTGACAGAACGCGAGTACGACGCGATGACGTCATTAATATGCTAAGTGACGTATGAGCTACTTAGCTACTTTCCTTTGAAAATAGTTGGCAACACTGTGTGCACTGACGGAGTAGCCATCCACATCTACTCACGTAGCTGTCACACGACAGTCTCCTTTGTTAGGTTATCTGTGGCACTAAACACTCGCCATATTCTCTCACGTAAAAGTACACGACTGTCACCTTCGGAAGGTTATCTGTGGCACTATCCACTCGTTATAGTACGGGCTGTTCTCGGGCTCAGCCGGACTCTGTTCATCTTCTTCGATCTCGCCTGGAGACTCAGACTCAGATTCCCATACCTCTATGTCATCGCCTCCATGATGTTCAATGTGCGACTACAGGTGCGAGTCTATCTATCTATCCTCTCTGTCTGTCTGTCTGTCTGTCTATCTATCTATCTATCTATCTATCTATCTATCTATCTATCTATCTATCTATCTATCTATCTGTCTATCTATCTGTCTGTCTGTCTGTCTGTCTGTCTGTCTGTCTGTCTATCTGTCTATCTATCTATCTATCTATCTATCTATCTATCTGTCTGTCTGTCTGTCTGTCTGTCTGTCTATCTATCTATCTATCTATCTATCTATCTATCTATCTATCTGTCTATCTGTCTATCTATCTGTCTGTCTGTCTGTCTGTCTGTCTGTCTGTCTGTCTGTCTGTCTATCTATCTATCTATCTATCTATCTATCTATCTATCTATCTATCTATCTATCTATCTGTCTGTCTGTCTGTCTGTCTGTCTGTCTGTCTGTCTGTCTGTCTATCTATCTATCTATCTATCTGTCTATATCTATCTGTCTGTCTATATATCTGTCTGTCTGTCTACGTCTATCTATCTACACTCAAAAAAATGATATGTTGGCTTTACTTAACTTTATGTAAACAGGTTCCACCGGTTCCACATAACTATGTTTCGTTAAACAAACATAATATGTTCATGTAACTTCAACATCATGGAATTTGGTCATTTTAAGCGACCCAATTAAACTCTGAGCTAATGAGTTAATTAAGTGAATAATTGAGTGATGATTGAGCATTATTGAAGACACCTGATGTTAACAAGCAGAATCTCTGAAGGAGAAAACCGGAATGTTTAAGTCACCATTATGGAGATAAGTGTGTGTTTTAGTTGGGCTCTTGACCATTAACTTATTAACTTTAGATTTTGTTTGGTTGCTGTACATGAGTTATAACAGCCAGATGAACAATGAACTGAGGAGATCTGATGGTGTTGGTTGTGATTTAACAATCATTATTTCACAATCATTTGACCTCAATCACTGAACTTATATTGAACCCAATTTCTGAGTTAAGTTTACCTTACTGTCATTGTAGAGCATACTATTTTTAGCCTGTTCAATGAAATTCAAATGATCAAATCAAGAAATAAAAAATAAACTTCCTAAAAAATATCCCGAGTAGGCACACACAGACATCAAGAATCAGCATATGAATCTCAGCAATGGTGACAAACAGATCATAAGCTCATTATTTATTCATGCAGCAATGCATGATGGGAGCCATGAATGAGTTTTGATTGGTGGCACCCAGAATGCACTGCAACATGCTTTATAATTGTCACCATTGTTGAGATTCACAGGCTGATTCTTGATGTCTGTGTGTGCCTACTCAAAATATTTTTTAGGAAGTTTATTTTTTATTCATTGAAAAGGCTAAAAATAGTATGCTCTACAATGACAATGCTGCTATTATTCGAAAGGTTAACTTAACTCAGAAATTCGGTTTAATATAAGTTCAGTGACTCAGGTCAAATGATTGTGAAATAATGATTATGTTAAAACACAACCAACACCATCAGATGACCTTTGTTTATTGTTCATCCGGCTGTTATAACTCATGTACAGCAACCAAACAAAATCTAAAGTTAATAAGTTAATGGTCAAGAGCCCAACTAAAACACACACTTATCTCCATAATGGTGACTTAAACATTCCGGTTTTCTCCTTCAGAGATTCTGCTTGTTAACATCAGGTGTCTTCAATAATGCTCAATCATCACTCAGTTATTCACTTAATTAACTCTTTAGCTCAGAGTTTAATTGGGTCGCTTAAAATGACCAAAATCCATGATGTTGAAGTTACATGAACATATTATGTTTGTTTAACGAAACATAGTTATGTGGAACCGGTGGAACCTGTTTACATAAAAAAGTTAAGTAAAGCCAACATATCATTTTTTTGAGTGTATCTATCTATCTATCTATCTATCTATCTATCTATCTATCTATCTATCTATCTATCTATCTATCTATCTGTCTGTCTGTCTATCTATCTATCTATCTATCTATCTATCTATCTATCTATCTATCTATCTATCTATCTGTCTGTCTGTCTGTCTGTCTATCTAT